AGCCGGGTGTGACTCATCCCAACTTCCCTTCTAGTTACAGTGAAAAGAACTGAAGGAGCACACGAACTCGAGACTTTGGAGGACCGCCAACTCACCATCACTTGGGCACAAATCTCTTGCGTTCCCGAGAGCCCCGCCCAAATAGAGACTCTGTGTAACGAGGTAGGAGATAAATTTAATTCTACTAATCACGGCGGCTGAAGAGGCTCAATACAACTTAGTTAAAAACCTCTCCTCTCAGAAAAGTTCACAAGTTGAAGCTATGTTGGGACTGACAATGCGCATAAAGGTACCCCTTTAACGCTACACATTTTGACGTGGCCCTCTGTAGTGCTACTGCTTCGGCAGGTTTATTGAATATAAATGAAGTCCTGTTCATGAGTTCTTCTTGTGAATGACTCCTTTCATCCCTCAGCTGTGAGGGACCTGTGTTTCAGAAGATTAGCTCGTTAGTTTAGGAAGCTTTCACATAAAATTGAGCGTTGGGACAGACCTGACGTTATCTGATGCGCTGATGTGAGAGCTAAGCTGCTTGTGGGATGTGTGTAGTCGAGCTCTGCGTGGATCTAAAACGGCGTAGGTTCAACCACTCATGCAGCGCCAGACCTTAACCAGGTATTCTGAAGGATGTCTACAACCTAGTCGGCTATCGCACCTAAGACCAAGTCATTCCCGACCAGCTCTGTCTTTGTCAGCGTCTTGTCGCCCTCGATGGACTGCGTAAACCGGCCTGACTTAAACTAAATGCACGTCATGGCACACTTTTCCTGATATGGAATGGTAAAGATGAATTGAGAGTAAACGTAGTCGTAGAGAGGGGTGTTATCGATACAGTGGCGATTGCATAGAAAGAGAAAAAGATGGGGTATATCTAACATAGTCCAGGACGGAGCTTAGTAGGTTGCACCGCCTCGTCTTCTACGTCCATATCCACCGGATGTACGAGCTCGTCGTCGCGAGCCGCAACGGCAGCAGATGATGTCGATGATGAAGTTCCAGATAGCGACGAGGACCTGCAGAAGGCCAGGGAATGATTTAGACATGTGGCGTAGAGGAAACGATTTCAGCAAAGTGACTTACGGATGTTATACCGCCGACGATAGCCATGATAACGGACGCAATAGCGGAGATGACGGAGTTGATAGCACCACCGATAGCAGAGAAGATTGAGCCCTGTATAAAGTTCAGGATAAGTCAGTTGGTTGGTCTTGCGAGGGATCCGTGCCACCAGTGCCTCACCATGATGTTTTATTGACGGGTAGAGAGAAGAGCTGAAGTAGTTTTGTTGTTTTAGAGTCTGTAGGAGATGCGAGTTGGAGTTGTTCTGTGTGGCATTATTGGCCAAGATCAGCTTGCTTTATATAAGCCAGCATGGCGGTGGTGCATTCTTGATTGCTGGCCCGCGTCATTCACTAATATTAATGACATCATGTCTGGGGCGTGAGCTCCAAGACATCCACGCGAGGAGGGTGTGGTGCAAGGCACTGCCATGACGTCATAAGCTGCGGGGTCGACCAATCAGCGCTCGTAAAGAAATTTTTTCACTTTGCTAGAATACTCCTGAAAATATTTACTGAACTAACCAATAGGAGTACTCGAGAGTGACGTATGTACGTTTCCAAGTCTCCTTTTATCCTCCGACAAGCTGATGAGAGACACCTTCGAAGCGGAGATAAAAAGAAGCGACAAAGGCTAATTCAGATATGGTAGTACCAGGATTCTTCTCGTAGGCTAATGAGGGAAGATATGTAAAGGAACGGACGGACCAACGTCTACGCGACGAGGTTCAACAGCAGTAACCCAACAAAACGACAACAAAAGAAACCCGGAACAAAAAGATGAAGAAAGTAGGCTGTAAAAGTCCTTAAGAAATATCCCAGAAACACTATGTACACATTTATATCCCCACCGAGTGTCGTCTACTTGGAACCCGAATGGTGCAAGGATCGGCGATCACCCCTTCGGCTCGAGTTCGTCGCTTCATTCGACGAACGCAGGAATAATGGGACACAGGTGGATTCGTCCCGGCTGACGTCGTAGCCCTTTGCGCAACGACGAACGCGGCACGAACCGGCCTCGCAGCTAACATCGGCCACGTGGGGAATTTGGGAGCAATCGGTACCGGGAATTGACGACGAGGAAAAAGGAATGGCACATCCACCGCCTAATCGTTGAAGAGGTACGAGCAGGAGACCAATCAGCAAATCGATTCGAAGGGCAGAAAAGATCAACTCACAACTCTCTAGGTCGGTTTGAGTGTTAACGCACTCCCATCCTCGCATCGAGGTTCCGCCCCTCATCTCGACACCGCAAACGGTCTGACCCTGAGGGCAGAGGGGTCCACGTCCGTGTGCAATCTTGTTCGCGTTTTCGTCGTCACGCTTGGCAGTCCGCCCGTTGGTGGAACGAGCACGACGAGGAACAGCGCTTGGACAAGGGGAACTATTCGACCTGCATTCTCCATGGCAGTCGTAAGTTCCTTCACTGCACTCGCATTCACCGGTGGTATGGTTCTTGGTGTAACCAGGTTCGCATTTGCAGGCGCATTTTTTTGACGAGGAGCATGTGAGCGAGGTAGGTTTGCAGTTGGCTGGGTAGTGGCACTGAACGGCGGAAGGGTGGTTTTTGATCTGGGCAATGGAACGTTGGAGACCAATCAGTAAAAAGGTAAAAGGAGAAGACCAGCAATATGAAGACGAAGCTTACTTTATTGGTGATCTTTCGGCTAGCATCAGCTCTACAATCGTCTGGAATATCCGACCTACTGTTGACGTACTCGACAACGGCATCAACGCAGAGACAGATGTGGAGGTCGATATCGACCTCGACAATATCCAACACGAAAACTGAGACTTTGGTATCTAAATCCGCGCAGACATGTGCTTCGACGGACAGGTCGCGGGGGCCGAGCAACGGATTTATAGATCGGGTAGCAGTTGGGAGGTACGCGGCCGATGCAAGAGCAGGGAGGAGGCCGGTGGTGATTGCGAGTACTCTTGAGAAGCGCATAACGACAGTAGTGTCTTTAAAAAGGAGGGAAAGTTTTGGAAAGGATTGTGAAGGCTGTTTGAAAAACGAGAGGTGGGGGCGATAGAACTGGTAGCGAAGGGATAGAGGTCGTTGTCGGTGCCTCTTGTTAACGAAGGAAGGGAAGGTGATGAGGGCAAGGAAAGATGTTAAGAGCCGAGAGTCGATGAATGATTTCGCTGTGCTGGCCATTCACTTCTTAAGTAGTGCTATCCTCCTTGACGAAGAAAGCGGAAGGGGAAAGGTCTCCTCAGCCCAACTCGAAATGAGGGCAACGGGATCACCGAACAACGAGAAACCCAATAAACCCTTGCTCAGCCTGGCTCGTTAGGTCGGCGGTACACAAGTCCTGTCTGGGGACGTGTGTTTTTCCCAATTCATCGGTGCACGACGAAATCGAGACGGAAATAAACGTTGCGATTGTTTTGCGCTGTTTCCCTTGCTTGTTTGCTTGTGGCATATCTACTTCCGCTTCAAGACCATTGCCAATTGAGTTGGGCGCGGTCTTGGTTTTGGATTTAACGTTGCTATTTTGCGCGATCCAGCCGGTTCCTGGCTCATAGGAGATCGATCATCAACGAAACTTGACGACTGACAGGTCCCTTTAAGAATTGGCGTCTTGAACGTCAGAAGGGCCGTAACGGAAGTGATCGACCTGCAACCGGGAAGAATGGCCACCAAAGATCCGCCGAAAATGCACGGCATTAGAGTCTAGCGGCATTGGACGTATCGATTTCCCGGTGATTTTCGAGCGACCCTTCATACCTGGATTGGAGTGTGTGCCACCTTTCACCAAAAATTTGTTACGACCTCGGGAATGTATTTCCTTTCATCCATATGCGCGAGAAATTAGCTGCGGGAAGAAGTTTCTTGGAAGCAGTTTCACCTATGAGAATCGGGAGAAGTGGAGGTGGCAATTAATTTAACTTGATCGGACATAAAGGAGCTACACCCCCGACACGCCACCATTTGCAAATCAACCACCCCCGCCGAGCTCAACGACTTCTAGGCACCCTTCGTGGCACGCAAACGGTTCTCCGACCTACAGTCTACCATTGATACCTTTTGTGACTTGTGCCACGCATATGAGGATCTTGTGAGTCCCTGATCATAGCCTTTGGGATATTTCCAAGGTAATCCTCAAGTGCTATGTGCAAGTCGTACTCTTGAACTGCTTTTTGTATGTATGGATAGGATATGAAAATACGATGTAGCATGGGTGTGCACTTTTCACGGGATATTCAATCCTCAGGCTGCCAGCGTGCACGGTGCGAATCCATTTCCTACGCCCAACTTTTTGATGGACCGTCTTCCCTTCCGTACTGACTCCTCGTTGGATTTGAGGCACGGGTTTTGATCTATATCACCATAGATGGAACCTCTGAAATTCGTCCGTGTGTACCATCTAATTTGTTGGTGGAATCCGTGCGCTTAAGACGTAATTTGACTGATTAATGATTTGATGTTCCCGGAAACGTCCCGAACCAACGAACCCGAGCAAGGAGCCAAGCGTCTCGCTTTATTCTCTCGTCCGGAAACGAGAGCTTCTACACCGGCGGAGGGCAGAGATGCCTTGGTGCTTGAAAAATCGCGACGGACGTGTTACTAAATCCAGCAGGCGCCCATCACCCAGAAATGTTCTACTCCCTGGACAGTTGTGCCTCGAACATTCAGCCGAATACGCAACAGACCCGCTTACAGTACTTGCGCAACAAATTGGGTCTTCCGAGAGGCTGAGGCACGTTTCGGGGCTTCCGTTGGTTTTGGCAGGAGAGACACTTCGGCATCAACGGCAGCTCGACGAGCTTCCTAACGAACGGGCCATGATCTGTATATATGTTGTGCCAGGCTCTATTGATTATTTCTGAGCTTTAATGTCGCGAATGGATGAAAGTTCGGTCTCCGAGTGGGGTTTCTACTATCAACCTAACTGTTCCCTTTGTGCAATTTTGACGGAGCTCAATGCCCAAGCCGCCTGGCTAGCTCAATCGGTAGAGCGTGAGACTCTTATCACGTAAGAGCACTATCTCAAGGTTGCGGGTTCGACCCCCGCGTTAGGCTACTGGAAACAGTTCTTTTTTGTTTATCACACTTTTGCGGGATCAGCCTTTTCCCCCCTAGTTTTCAGGCAAAACAAGTCAGTTCTGGACATATTTTCGGGTGTCACGCATCGCGTCCTCGAGCGTAATTTTAAGTTGTATATATATGCCTTGTGATTTCGGAGATGTCAAGAACTTTTAAGGTTCGAATGAAGCCTTCGGTGGTTCCAACATTGGTGGCTATGCTTCCGGCTAGGAGCTACCGAAAACTAGCCCCCTAGGTCATGGAGTCTCTCCCTTCCCCTCTCGCTTATTATACTAAAATATGCACGGTAGTTTGTCCTCAGCGTTTGTATTTCGTTTCGTTGCGTTCCCGCTTAGCAGGCCTTGGTCGCTTCGACGTACATTTAATGAGATTGGTTGACGGTCACTACGTATCACATCCAGGCTGGACTACGTGCGATTAACGCCTAACCACCTTCCCGCTTATTACGATGCGGGGACCGTCGTCAACCTGAGTGGCCGAAACGATCTCACCATATCTTCTTGCGTCACGTTCTCCGGCGTTCGGGGAGCTTTCCAGCTCTTATCAACTCCTTTCCATTTCTTCTCCAAAACTTCCAACGCCAGATCTCCTGCGAGTCTGACTCTGGATTTGGCGGGCACGTGCGAAGGTCCTTCGACACCCTCCGCATCTCCGCGAGGTTCCTCATCCTGGACCGTCCTGCCTAGGGTAGGTGCACTGGGAGAGCTCGATTGAGCCTTTGCAACGACCGATGCTACCTCCTCGTCCTTGACAGCCCCGGAGTATACCAACCAGCATCCGACAATTGTCCCAGTCCTCCCTATCCCTCCCCAGCAGTGAACGACAGCTTTGCGGTTGTGCTGTTGCTGGACGACGTGTAAAGCATTCATGATGACCTGGAGAGCGTCGCTTGTAGGAACTGATCCATCTTGGATCGGAAAACGGGCGTATCTGACAAGAAGTGTTCCCTCGTCCCCATTTTGAGGGGTATCCTGGAAGAAAGTGGAGTCGTTCTCCTTCGAAGTGTCCAATTTCACCACATGCCCGCCTCTCTCGGAAACCAGTCTCTCCAGGGTTGGGAGGTACGTAAGTGATTCCCACTCCTCCATGAGATCGAAGAAGTCTGTTATTCCAGCGTCGAGGAGAGCTTTCAATTTTGGTGTCGCTATATGCTCCCTTGAATCTCCGGGACATTCGCTCGCTAGCAGTGTCGGGGTTGCCCAGTAAGAATTGGGAAGTGGTCGTGGAGGAAGATCCAGATTCTCGTCATCCGTGGTGTCAAGAGGTGCCGCCGAAGTTGGTCTGCAGGACGTCCAGAGCTTGGGATCGCGAATGTGTGGTTCCATGGTGAAGGTGGTTGAAGAGGGCACGAATTATGACGTCTGCCACTGCAAAGGGACCACCTGCACGTGGCGCCAAGCTTACTCGCTCTCTACCTTTGCACTTGCCCTCCAATACTAATCGGTTGCTTGGCTGATTTATGCGGACTTCGGAATCAAGCACCTCCCAGACACCCCGCGTACCTCCAAACGCCTGATACGCTTTAGTCCCATGGCTTCAGTAATTTCTAATTCGATTTAAGGCCGAATAAGTACTTGGTTTGCATGGCATGTCTCTTCGTTCTGGCCTCCTTTCTCGCGACTTTCCCCCTTATTTCTAGAGAGGAAGATTCGATTGTGGTCGATACAATCTGACCACATCCGCTTGGAGTGCATTCTCCGGTGTACGAGGTGCCCTCCAACTTTTATCCACTCCTTTCCATTTCTTCTTCAAGAATTCCAACGCAACCTCTCCAGCTGGTTTAATGCGGGGCAAGACTACCGCCGACGCCGGCCCTTCCCCAATTACCACCGCGCCTGGCTCAGTCGCGGAGCTCGATTGACCTAGAGCAACGACGGTATCGTCCTCATCCCGTACGACTCCCGAGTGAACGAGCCAGCATCCAACGATGGTCCCCGTCCTTCCTATCCCTCCCCAGCAATGAACTACAGCTTTGCGGCCTTGTTGACGGTGTACTATGGTCAAAGCGTCAAGGATAGCGCGAAGGTCGGTGGTGGAAGGAATGGATCGATCTCGAATTGGAAACCGCGCGTATCGGACTGAGAGAGTTCCTGTGCCTCCTTCTTCAGTTTGATCTTGGAGGAAGTTTGAATAGCCATGGCTCGTTGCGTCGAGTTTTGTGATCGTCCCGCCCCTGTCGGAAACGAGCTTCTCGAGGATCGGAGAATACGGTACCAATTCTCCTTTCTCGGTGAGGTCGAAGAAGTCCGTAATCCCGACATCCAGAAGGGCGGTCAGCCTTGGAATAGCCAACGTTTCCGTCGGACCTCCTGGGTATTCGCTCGCTAGCAACGTCGGGGTCGCCCAGTATGAGTTAGGGAGGGGACGCGGAGGGAGGCTGGGATCGTTATCGTCTGTCGTGTCCAAAGGTTCCTCCCAAGAGGGGCGTTGAGAAGCCCAAAGCTTGGGATCGCGAACATAGGGAGGCATCACGAAGGAGGCTGAGGGCAAGGATGATGGTGGCAGGCCTACGGTGCGTTACGTGATGACTCAGCAGCTCAATTGTAACGCCTAGACCGCTCACCAGAGCGTATCTTTGATACCCAAGAACGCACGCCAACACTCGACAGATCGTAATAGTGTAGATTAGGAAGGCAAAACCCGGATGACAGTAAAAAGTGAAAGGATATATCATTGACAGAAGTGACGGATGAAAACGTGGAAAATGAACGCGGCGTCGCCTTCTATCGTTCTAGCAATGAATGCCTTTTACTCCTCCTGTGGAACCTCCTCCTCGTATTCTGGCTCTTCGTCGACGCTGTATGAAGAAAAGGCAAGTCAGATAGTGTTGTGGAATGAATAAAGTAACGCCAACGTACGTGGCATCCTGGTATTGCTGATATTCGGCAACCAAGTCTTGCATGTTGCTCTCGGCTTCGGTGAACTCCATCTCGTCCATACCCTCCTGGGTGTACCAATGCAAGAAGGCCTTTCGCTTGAACATGGCGCTGAACTGGTCGGCAACACGCTTGAACAGCTCCTGGATGGCGGTGGAGTTGCCAATGAACGTGACGGACATCTTGAGACCACGGGGTGCAATGTCGCACTGAGCGGTAAGGACGTTGTTGGGGATCCACTCGACGAAGAACGAGCTGTTCTTGTTCTGGACGATCTGCATCTGATCCTCGATCTCCTTCATTGACACCTTGCCACGGAAGTAGGCAGCGACGGTGAGGTAGCGGCCGTGTCGTGGGTCGGAGGCAGCCATCATGTTCTTGGCATCGAACATCTGCTGGGTGAGTTCGGGAACGGTGACAGCACGGTATTGCTGAGAGCCGCGAGCAGTGAGGGGAGCGAAGCCAACCATGAAGAAGTGCAGACGGGGGAAAGGAACCATGTTGACGGCCAACTTCCTGAGATCGGAGTTGAGCTGACCGGGGAACCGAAGGCATGTGGTGATACCGCTCATGACGATGGAAACGAGGTGGTTGAGGTCACCGTAAGTGGGAGTCGAGAGTTTCAAGGTCTTGAAGCAGATTTCGTCTACGATCCAGTAATTAGGACAAATTCGGACATAGGCACATGATGAGGAGACTTACAAAGGGCTTCGTTGTCAATGCAGAAGGTCTCATCAGAGTTTTCGACAAGCTGGTGGACTGAGAGCGTGGCGTTGTAGGGCTCGACAACGGTATCGGAGACCTTAGGTGAAGGAACAACGCTGAAGGAGCACATCATGCGGTCGGGGTACTCTTCACGAATCTTGGAGATCAAGAGAGTTCCCATTCCGGCACCAGTTCCACCACCCAGTGAGTGAGTGATTTGGAAGCCTGAGGGTGACGTATCGTCAGTTGAGGTGGGCCTTCAGAGCAAAACACTGGGACGACCATACCCTGCAGGCAGTCGCAACCCTCTGCTTCCTTGCGGACGACTTCAAGTACCGAGTCCACCAACTCAGCACCTTCAGTGTAATGGCCCTTGGCCCAATTGTTACCGGCACCACTCTGACCGAAGACAAAGTTGTCCGGACGGAAGAGGGTTCCAAGAGGACCCGAGCGAAGGGAGTCCATGGTTCCAGGTTCCAAATCGACCAGGACGGCGCGTGGTACATACTTGTTGGCTACCATGATCATCAATACACGGACGGTATGCTCATGGCCACCAACCACATACCTCCTGTTGAGTTGTAGTAGACGCTTATCCTCTCAAGCTGAAGGTCATTGTTGCCCTTGTAACTGCGACGCGTCGTCCCGATCAAGTCAGATCGCTGATTCGAAGATTAAACGACGAACAACACAGTGTACTCACACACCGTCCTTGTCGATACCGTGTTCGTCTGAGACAACTTCCCAGAACTTGGCACCTATTAGAGAGAGAGAAGTGAGTGAGCAAAAACGTTTGCAAAACACGTGTTGTAGGGGTCGATGTGACAAGGTCAAAGAAGACGCAAAAAACGCGTCCCCTCGAAGAGTAATGCGGTACGTACCGATTTGGTTTCCGCACTACATGGGAAAATACCGTGGCAAGCGCAGAAAAGTCAAAGAATGGAGAGTGGTGAGCGGTGAGTAATGGTCATGCCTCCAGTTTAGATTGAAATCGCATACCTGGCCGGTCTGGAGGTGAACAATTTCGCGCATCCTATGGAAAAAAGACAGAGGAATCCGTTAGAACCGGTGTCGAGGCTGTCATCGTCTGGGTTCTTGAGGTCGAGGACGCAAAAAACCAAGAAGGGTTCAAAGAACGCGTCCCACATCGCACATTTTCGTGTTATATGCCCAGACGAGGCTCAGTATCGGTTACGAGACTTACGTGAGGTCGTAAAAAGAGTTTTGAGTGGCGAGTAGGGGGAAGAAGTGAACGGTTGAAGGTGATGGAGAGAGCAAAAGAAAAGTGGCCTGCTCGCGAACCCTTTTTCTGAGGGGCTACCCTAAAATCCCACGGTTCGAGCCACGAGGCGCTTACCCAATCGGGTTTCCTCCACTTACCTCACACTTCGACCG